ATTCGAAAGATTATTTTTTATTACAAAAGTTAATGAAGTAACAATTTAAATTAAACTACTAGGTACTATGCTCCACACCTCAAAGTCCCACCACGTGACCACGTACGGAACGAAGTCTTTTGAAAATTTAGCATTTAAGGCTTTTCAGGTTATGTATCTGTCAAAGTATAGTCAATGAAAGAAATAATATTTATAGTTTACCGCTTATGTTTAAGCGTTAAAAGTTAATAAATCTTTATAGTATCACAATAACAATAGTTGGTTTAAGAATTTAGGAATATAAAAACTGCATTTAATGAAATTTCAAAGTGTAAGGTGCAATGTAAGTGATATTTTTGTGCATTGGGTCTACATTTCTCCATAAAATAGTTTTAACTAAACAGCATTTATTAAAAAAAATCTAACTTCTCTATTATGAAATAATAATATCTGTATCAAAGGTAGGTTAATGTATTAGAACAAAAAATATCATCTAATTTTGTATTTTAAGGTTAGAAAAATCAATTTTGACCAAAATAAATAAGTGGATTATTTGGAAGTGTGTGTTAATATGGTCATAAATAAATATAGGTATACTAAATAATTGTTGAATATGGTTCAAATTAAATTGAAGCTTTTATACTTCTAATGACAAAACTTGTGCATACCTCTCGGCATACCTACTTTAAGTTATATTATAATAAAACGAACAATTTTTAGAGAAACTTGCAATGTGAAAATATTTAATACTCCCATGACATGTGATTTATTAAAAATTTTAAAGATATAATGATTTTTCGATGTAGATCAAGTTCAGTCGAAGCTCTTTAACTATTTGTATTGACAAAACTTTATGTAGGTACACTTTAAGCTGGATAAGAAAAACTACCACATTTTTAAATACCATATTATACAGTCTTTTAAATAATCCAAAATACTTATTTATTTTGGTCAAAATTAATTTTTCTAACCTTAAAATTACAAAATTAGATGATATTTTTGTTATTAACCTACCTTTAAAACAGATATTCTTATTCCATAATAGAGAAGCTATATTTTTTTTAATAAATGCTGTTTAGTTAAAATTATTTTATGGAGAAAAACAGATATTTGGACCAAATTCACAAAAATATTACTTTTTTGGCACAATACACTGTACGGTAATGGGCGTTTTAAAGGTGGAAGTAGAAAAAAGTTTTATTGGTCATATGCGGTTTTAATGTCTTTGATTTAAAAAGGTGTATTAATTATAGTTATAGTACTTACTGCTCTCGACCACCTAAACATTATTTTTTCGAAACACAAAAAATGTACAGTTGAAACAAAAAGCAAAGCAATAAAATTTAAATTTAACAAACTCGCTCTTCCTGCTAGCGTTTATCTTAATGTTTTTTTTTGTTAAGAAAACAGCCTATTGTTCCTAGATAAAATCTGCTTTTTTCGCCGGTTATATACTTAGTTTGTTTCATCTCTTGTGGACGAGTAAAAAAAATACAGGAAGTTTTAAGGCCAAGGCTTCGAGAATCGTCCTTTATTTCACACAATTAACGGGTTTATTTTATGTAATTGTTTAACAATAGTCTTTATTGCTATTTGGGATTTTTTCGTTCATGAGAAACATTCATTTGGTGTACAAATTTGTAGAAAATTCCTAGGTAGTAGGAATACTAAAAATACTAAAAATGCAAATAATTGTATATTTATTAAAACTAAATTTACACAAATATAATTTTTAATAAAACATCAGGAAGTAAAGTAGAAATTTTAGGGCCGCCACTGGTTGTTACTGCCCTATAAAAACTGACGCAAATATGCTTGCATATATATAAATTCGTAGAAAAAAAACTGGTTTTGACGTTTTTGGTTTACGATACAAACAACGCTTGATGCCCCCAAATAATATATTTTTTTCAATAATTAATTTTATAAATAAAATCATTTGCAATTTTTTCCCTCAAATCAGTCGTATTTTTTTAATGGTTTTGTCTCCAAAAATGTTAAAATGATTAAAATCTTATTCTCAAAGGTCATTAACGTTTTAAGCAGCCAAAACTTGACATTGCTGTCCGTCCCTGCTGTGGTTTCCGGGCCTCATTATTTACTGCAATATAATATATCTTCCATCCAGCAGGAAACAATCATACGACCGGCCGTAACGCGTTTTTTTCTTACATCCATCCATCCATCTATCTATATCTATGTGTGTGGTTTGTTTTATTACTGCTAAGCTGCTTGCCGTTCCTGCCCATCCGCAGGAATTCGCATCGAGAAATTAAGAATAAAATGCAAAATGTTTTTTGCAGGACATTCTGGATTTGCACCTTTTACCAAAAAGGGTTAGTGGTAGTAAATCTTGAAATTTAAAAGATTTACCTAAAAAAAGTTTTGAATTAAAAAACTTTAATATTTAATATATATATATATATATATATACCATTTTTTTATAACTCAATTAGGATTAAATTAATTAATTGACAAAATAATTAAACGAGGTATTTTTATTAAAAATAGTACAATAATCCTTTAAATTAAAGGATTTAATGCTGACAGGTAAAAAGTGACTATGGTGCGCAATTGATAATTATCACCGAATGAAATAATGTATAAAACTTAAACCAAAGGAAACTTAAATATTAGTTAAAAAATAAGATTTAATTATTACCAAAAAAGTGATATTTTTATAGAAAAATTATTGCAGTATAATATTAACCATACACTATTCGATGCTGTATAGTTTATTTTTTAATTCCATACCTAAAAAAACAAAAGCGTAAGTTTAATCCTGGCGCATTCGCCATTTTTGCTAAAATAAATAATAAGTAAATATCGGTGGAGACTATAATGGATGTTTCAGCGACAACACTGTTGTCACTTTTTGTACTAATCGTTTTTTTACGGTCCGCCAATATTTGGCCAGAACCAACGAGAACATTAAACACAAATCAAAATGGTCTGTTTAAGTAACCGTTAACTTATTTCAGATTAAAAAACGTCTCGTTTGCTTTGGAATTTTATTTGGACGCCTTATTAGGCAGGCGGGCGTTTCGGTACACGGCAATTTAAAATTTATCTAAAATTAATTGACAACAAATCACTTTGAACAGTGAAAGTGTTAATTACAATATCGGTGGAGCTGTAAACTATTGTTGTCGAGCGTTTTTTAGAACACATATTTGGCATCTCCATAGACCAATTGCCAATTTTTACGCTCATACAAGCATGAGAAAATTTTAACAAGTTAATTCTGTATAAAGTAACCTGTTACTTTTTATATTCCATGATACCGTTATGCAAAACTAATTTGTATATTTTAGCAATATTTTTGCCAAATGACGACAAACAATATAGTTATTTGATAAAAGCACAAAATAGTATATTATGTATAAAGTTTAAAAAACGAGCAAGTGTTTAATAAAACCGAGTGTCTAGAGAAGTTTATAAAACGTAAATGTCTAATTGAGCAGAAAATATTCACTTTGATATTATGTTTGCTAACGCCTTGACTAGCTCTTGATTTATCTGCCGGTTTAAATTAGGTTGCACTATATACTAGCAAGCGGCAATATGTATGTGTGTTGTGTATAGGTAAGAAAATGGCCGAATGCAATAGATAATCTACTTAAGTGGCATGTGCATACCGGCTGAATTCTTGCTCCCAAACACCAAGCGGCGGACTCGTAAATTGCCCGCTATTCATAAGTAATTTGCGACCGTGTTCACTCTCTTAAAATGAATTAGTCAAATTCTACTGAATGAAATAGTCAAATTAGTAGAATTAAATTTAAAAAAAGTTTTGACCCAGCCGGGGATTGAACTCAGGTCTGTCAAGCTTGCCAAGCTGTTGTCATAACCCATTCTGCTATCAGACGCTCTTATAAAAATCAGATTTATTTGTCAATAAATATTGTTCATAATATTTTAAAGTTGACTATATTATTTGTGTTGCTGTTTTGAGCTAAAGATTTTGGATCTTTATTTGTTTTTATGGGTCATTTAACCATGGAGCTTAGGTATATGCATTTAATTCAAATAATTCTTTGTTGTTGGCCGCAAACGATTAAAGAAATTAGTTACTTTTAACTCTCAGAAATAGTCAAAGATGATGACTAATCTTAAATTAGTCAAACTTTAACTATTTACATAGTAAAAAATAACTATTTAAAAGTGAAAACGGCTATTTTATTGGTAAAAAATGCTGGTACTAATTCAAATAGTAGAATTTTGACTATTTCATTTTTAGAGAGCAAAGAAAGAAAGACTTTTAATTTTTTGACCAAAATATAATCTTGAGAGATAATTTACTAAATAGACGTAATTAACTCATTTAACGGATCGAGATAATTAAGTCAAACAAAAAGCGTTAATTTACAGTAAATTTATTAACGTTAAAACCATCGATCTATTCAGGTTAATTTGTTTATTATTAGGAGAGATTTATTGACTTGGACCTTCTTAAAAACCATTCACATAAATAACTAATTAATACATCTATCTGTTACTATATAAATATGTTCGCAAAGCCAAGACGCTTAAAAAAGCTACCTATTGTTCTTATAAAAGTAAAAGCATTATAAAAACGTTAATCGCAATGATTTCCTTCTTCTTGCCATAAATGTATAAGGAAACTTCGAATTATGCAAAACACTGGAAACAAAAAAGACAGGGAATGCATTCGTCGTTAATTAGCTATTTCTTTCTTCAACACATTTTAAACTAATTAACAATTATTTGTTGTCAAATTCGTGTATGTATTTCTTTTATAAGTTAAATTCGTACATTCTTTTGACCACATCCTCATGTAAGTCATATTTTTTGTCCAAACTATCTCAAGTTTGTACCTTTTTGTAAATATTATTTTTATCACTTATCATTTTTGACTTTCTTGAGGCATGGAAGTATTTTATCAAAAATATTTTTAATTTTTTTACCATCTTTATTCTTTGGCTTCACATCGTTATATAAACCACATTTTAACCCCAAACTATCTAAAACGACTCCTAATTTTTCATCTTCTCTTTCAGATCCTCAGCTCCAAGCTCAATCGGGCTACTGGTCCGAGAATCAGGACAGAGCGTTGGTGGTGTCATTGCAAATGTTCAACCTGATCCTGGAACGGTGCATTTCGCTGCTGGAGGACCACTTATCGAAAAACAACAACCAAATTAGCCAGCTGTCGCAAGACATCATCATCCTGTTGCCGGCCATCAAGGTTTGGTGCGACTGGATGCTGTGTCACAGCTCCGTGTGGAACCCCCCGCCTTCCACGCAAGACTTCAAAGTCGGGTAAGCAAAATGTCACTGATTTATGTATACATACTTTTTATAATGCATTTTTTGGTTGCAGTTCGACAGGGGACTGTTGGACAAGATTGGCGATGCTGATGAATCTGTTCGAGCAAATTAAAAGTCAGAACTACGGCTTGAAGCTGCACGATGTGCAATTGGACGATGGTAAGAATTGTTTTAATAATTTTATCTACTCCCACCTTTAAGGTAGTTGTCGTGCTTTAAGCATACCATCAGATAATTTTAAATTTTTGTATACTTATTAAGGACATGACAATACATATATCCTTAAAATTTGAAGTCGATTGACCGTCTATAACCCGAGATAAATTCAATTATAAATTGGATAATTAACATGGATTGTATAGGCTTTCTGTAGTTCTGTACCAGTTTCTTAGTTATACAGAAAAAACTAACTGTCAGAAGCTTTCAAAAAACTAACAGTGTTTTAATGTATTTTTGCTGAGTTTAAAAAAAAAATAATTAAAAATTTTTGACCGTCCAATTGTTTATATATAACCGTTTAAAGTTCAACAATTTGTAAAAAGTATACATCACTAGTGTCAGATAAAAACAACTTGGCAAGGCTGTACGCGAGTATAGATATTATTTCTGCAGTAAATTCAAACGGACTGATTCAGTCTCCAATATATCTATTGGTCTAGCATGAGCGACGTTGCCGGATTAAAACTTATGAAAATATTTGAAAGTATTACGTAACGTCTCCAGGGTACAGTCTTGCGAACAAATTATGAATCACTTAGCTACAAGCTCGTATACTTTTACGGTGCGTATAATCTAAAGTTTTTTGACAATATTGTACCACGACAACTACCTTAACCAACCTTTTGGATAACATTTGTCATAAGAATGGCAATATAGGTACCTCCACACGGAAAAAAGCTATTCTATATTAAAGATTAATAATCTCAGTCCAGTATGTTCATCTCACCATTCCGCAAGTATTATACTATAATAGATACTTTTAATTTAAGGATTGTTTTATTCTCATTTGTAATTTAAATTAATACTTATTTGAAGATTAATATTTAGTTTAATGTTAGTTTTAGCCTAACAATATTAGGTCAATCATCTTTGTTTCAACTGAGTAAAATTCGAATATAAGCGTGTTTACATTATGAGGCTTTTATGGGAGCGTTGACATTTGTTAACAATAACTCTTCCGTGTAATGCAGCAAAGAAAAAAACAGCATAATTAGCAAAGCCATTCAGAGGACAAGCGCTTTTTGGCGGTTTAGGTCATGGTTGGACTTTTAGTTGGTTAATTGGATGTTTTATTCTCAAAATGGCTATTTTATTTAAATTTAGCATTAAATTTAGCATTAAATTTTATTTATGGAGATTTTTAACAATATCTTTTTTGACAGGGTGGGTAACAACTTTTCTAGGGTAATCAAATCACCCTCTAATATGGCACGCCGTTTTAACATTTATTAAGTATTTTTTTAATTTAAAATTTTATTGGTTTAAAATTTTCCCAACTAAAAATTTTAGGTTTACATTTATAAATTTATAATATATTCAACTATCATGCATTGAAAGATAAAATTTACTAACCAACTGTTCACTTCTGTATTAAACAATATTACTTTCAATCAATTTTTGCAAAAATTTCTAACTATCATTTTTTAATAAAAATAATTTCCCAAGTATAATTTATTTGGGTGACATTTTGTTAACTGAAATAAATATTTTATAAAATTATTGAGATTAATTTGGTTTTAAAGTTAAATTTTTTAGTATTTAAAAATAGTATCAAGCTATTTGAAATAAAAACACATATAAAACATTTTCTACCAAAATAGTTTTAAAAGTTAAATTTCAAAACTATTGATAATCAAAAAATATTTAAAATATAAAATGCAACTGTAAAAGTTTAAGTTTAAAAATATCAATTTTTAAAAAATTGAATTTTAATATTTTATTCTTCAAAATTATTGGTTTGATTAAATGATAAATTTTCAATACAAAAATTTGAACATTACATTTAAATGTTAGTTTTAAATTTTAAAATGGTAATATTTAATCATTTAAATGACTCTTTACAAATTTAAACCAATAACTTTTATTTTTAACAATTTTAAATTGATACATTTTTAAGACAAAATTTATAACTTTACATTTAAATGTAAGTCGATAATTTTTAATTTGCAAAGTGTAAACGTAGCTTTAGTAGAAGGCACAAGAGTCTGGGATCGGAGCCACGATGTAGCCAGTTTGATTCGCAGTGTTGCCAAATCCTGCTTGCTTCATATATATTTGACGCGTTTTACAAATTATCGTAATGAAATGTTTCTTTATTACATAAATTTAATAATAGAACAACAACATTTTTAGTGCCTATTGTACTAAGTTAATTCGACAATTAAAAAACATCAACGGATCAAACTGGCTCTGATCCCAGACTCTTGTGCCTTCTACTAAAGCTACGTTTACACTTTGTAATTTAAAAATTATCGACTTACATTTAAATGTAAAGTTATAAATTTTGTCTTAAAAATATATCAATTTAAAATTGTTAAAAATAAAAAATGTCGGTTTAAATTTGTAAAGAGGGATTTAAATGATGATCCAAAAATTACTACTTTAAAATTTAAAACTTACGTTTAATATAATGTGAGAATTTATTAAAAATTTATCAACTATCATTTAAATGACTCTTTAAAAATTTAAACCAAAACTTTTAAAAATCAATATTTTTATACATACATTTTTACTGTTGCATTTTATTTTTAAAATATTTTTTGACTATCAATTGTTTTGAGTTTAAAAAAATTTAACTTTATAAATTTCTGTTATAAAACATAATTTAAGTGTTAAACTTTAATCTTTAAACTTTTATCTAATAAATGCTAAAACGGCGTGCCATACTCTAGCAACAAAATTTAATTTTGTCGACCAGCGTAATTACTCAGTTTTGAAAGGAGATTTGAAAAATTGCAACGCATCGCGTGAATGATAATAAAATAAACCGTTGGAATTAATTAATAAAAACCTGGACTGTATAAAATTAAGAGAAAATATTTTAATTGGTTTTGATTTACTTCTAATTACATACAGGCATTTTTGCTTTAGGCCTCTCTATAGAGTATATGTACTTGTAAAGTAAAGCGAATCTAACAAAAAACTCTTTGTAACCACCGACGACTCAAAAATTAATGAAAATTGATAGTTTTTTAATTGCTTTTTTGCGCAACCTTAATATTAAATAAATATCAATCATTAGCTGGCAAAATTGATGTGGCAAAAACAGCGCGATATCAATTAAAAAAATATCATTAATATTGATGTTTTTGCATATGGATTTTTTCATGGAACCCGAGATGGACTCGATAGGCGCTCACAAATGAGGCACCGGTGCTCTTCCGGCATGAAATCATTAGAATTACGTCTGATTTTGTGTTTTACTTTCCACGGCACAAATCATGCGAAACGAAGAAATACGCAAAACAAGGAAATGCAAAGATCGGGGTGGCTGAGGAGGAATATAATCAAGTCGGCGGAAACAGCTCGCTCGGTGCACACAAGATGAAAAAAATGCGCGACGTCACCATTATTTTCTGCGAAAACGCTTTGGGAGGTCAAGCGCTGACAAAATCTAAGAAATACAATTAAAAGATCATCAAGCAGTTAAAAGTTGACAAAAACCATTAAAGTTGGCCATGGTCAATATTTAGCTAAATATTTTAACGCGAAAAATAGATGTGACCTCGCTTCGATGCATGTACGCGATTAATTTCTACGGGTTATTGTAGAGACCACGTTGCATCCACAATTATATTATATTGTACTTTTGGTTTTATCTGGTCTAAATATTTATTAGTTATTAAATTATTTAATTTTTAAATCCAAAATCCATTTACTCCCAATTTAGACATCAGGTGTCCTTTCCAAAAGAATTTTAAAAATGACAGCTGTCAAAACTGACCAGAAATGATTTAAAAAAATTAGTATGGCTGAATCTTCTTTAAAGTCAGTGCTCGGGATAAGCGGTCGTTGATTTCCAGCTTCCAAATCGCTTAACATTGGAAATTACTTCCCCAGAATCGGCTAAAATGGTAGCGGAGGATCTACGAAAACTATGACCTGTGTACTCCTCAGGATTTTTAAGTTTTAGATATGCAGCTATTTGTGCAGGCATTTTACCAAATGTATTAATTTCTACACATTGGGTAGTGCATGCTCTTCTTTTATAATTGAGAAAAAACCGCTTGTGTGGGGTATTTGGTTTTCGCAAATTTGAATATTTTCGGAACAGTTGTAAGTAATGGCCATTACTGATTTCATCAGATATCACAAAGATTCTTGATGTGTAATTTTTACTGTCCGAAATTTTTACGATTTCCAAATTTTCTTTATCATCAATCATTATCTTTGGGAGCTCTTCTCGCCTACAAGCACCAGCCAACCCAAAAATAGTGGGAACTTTTATTAAAAGGTAAATTTCATCTGGTGCTTCTTTAATAAATCTTGAAATGTCATCTTTCTAAATAATTTTGGACTTTTTTGGTCGGTATCCCACATATTCCTTTTTTATATATAATGTTAATTTATAATATAGACTCAAATCCAAATTTTTATTAACTTTTAGGACATTTTTAACTTGGAGTACTTACTCCACAAAGTATTTGGCTGATATGATTTTCTTAAATCCGCAAAATAGGCCAGAAACACTTCTTCCTTAAAACTTTTTGTCCCTTTGTTGTTGCACCAGTTTTCAAAATGTTTAAATTGTTTCTCATATTTTTGACATGATTTCGCTGGTAATAAATTCTCATTTACAGTATTTGCTGCCACCAGGATGTCATATATGGTAGCTCTTCTTCCAAAATGTTCATTTAATTTTCGCGAAAAATCTATAATATATTATGACGTTTCACTTTGTTTGTTGACACTTATTGACATGAAAACTAAGTAACTAACTTAATTTGTTTTTGTCTAAAATCAACATACCTACTTAAGTACATTTTAAATGCAAATGCATACGGAAAAGTGACTCTTTGCGCACGCTAGTAGAAAAGTAATGTGTCGCTTATTCTGAGGGTTTAAAATCGAGGAAAAATATCAAGAATGATTTTTTCTGAGAAATCTTTTCTCTTTTTTTTAAATCCCATCCTTAACAAAACAAAAACAAAAGAAGTTTCACTTCAGTCCTATGATCTAACCGCACATGCATGTTTTTTTTAAGGTAAATTAGGAAGGAATTCGTATTAGATTAAATTGCGCAACACAATACATTTGGAGCAAATTTTTCAATTAGACAGGCGTATGATTTAGTTAACTGTAAAAATATTGCGCATGGACCAAAATCGCTACATACATTAAGAAAAAAATCATTAATCGGATTATTTTTTCCAATTCAAATACAATTAGATGGAAAGGTAATGTAATCTAATTTAATACAACATGTTATTAATTTTATTGGAAAATTATTACTATATAGCAAATTTTTATTTACAATTTTATTATTCTTCATAAATTTATCAGTGAGTACACATAATAAACATAATATGTTTTAACTAATCTCTGCGTGTATATTATGTGTGTGTATACAGGCGACAATTAATTTGTTTATTGCTTAACAGGTCGAACCGTTAGTTAAAATTGTGATTGTATCAATGAAGTGTCGAGCGATTATCGAAATCGTATTAAAACGTATTGTTCAATTGGTCATTAAAACAATATCGTAAAATGCGGTCGCATGATTTAAACCACCATTAATATTAATATTCCATTATCGCTGCTTGTTACATAACTATTACTGCAATCGCGTTTTATTATACTGCATGTGCAACAAAAACGCAACACCCACATCAAAGTAAAGTCCATCTTGTTTACAGGGTGTTATGTAATTAATGTTATATATTAAAATACTGAATACCTTTTGACATAAGGAAAATATTTAAAAAAAACATTTTTCCAAAGATAAAGAAAAAATATGCATTAGAAGTTTTTTATATTTTTTGTGATACGCCACTGGTTACACACTTGTTTATCTCTGCACACCTGTATTTTGTGAGTACATAGATACCAACCAACAAAGTAGCTATGCGTTGCCAGATGTAAAATATTGTTACTAAAAATTTTTCTTGCAAAAAATAAATAAAAACTCAATAAATACAAAAGTTTTATGCCCTTAAAGCTCTAATACCCTTCTGTATTTATTTACTCATCCAGCTATTAGCTTAAGCAATGATTAGAAAATTTAGTACCTTTGAAATTTGAAATCCATAACCACAAAATTAATTTTTTCATCAGTATTTTTCTCTGTTTACTCAGATGAAATTGGGACCAGTTCACAGGTTAAACTTTAAACATTTAATTTGTGTAAATAAATCCAAAAGCACTTCCCTTAGTTAAGATATTTACAATTTGAAAACATAACCTAAAATTTAAAAGAAATGCACTAGATTCTGTCATAAAAGTTGGCAGATTTTGTTTGAATTTACCTTCAGTACAAAAATGAAATAACCAACAATTAATAAAAACGCCAAATTGACAATTTGCATTGTTAATTTTGTCATTTTTGTAATTAAGCTAAATTTAAACAATGTTTGTCAACTTTTTTGAGAGATTTTGGAAACACTGTTACCAACCATAACATAATAAATCCACCAGATTAACCTAAAGTTCCTAGTCGATCAGTGGCGTACTTTTTGGTAGGATAAAGGTTATTATAAATTATTTTTAGACTTTGGAATTTAGAAAAAAAAAGTTTCAGTTGCTTCTTTATGGACCCTAAGGAACAACCCATTTTAATATATAACATTAATTACATAACACCCTGTATATAGAGAGGAAACGATTTTTTCCACTTGATCTTGATTTTTTTTCTTTAACAAGAAGTGCAGTGGAATTTAAATAACGACAGGCAGTATGGCCGAGTCTTCTTTGAAGTCAGTGCTTGGAATAAGCAGTCGAATTTTCCACAAATTGAACTTAAATATACCTAAAAAATAACAGTTCAAATCAAATAAAAAGTTTAAGAATCTTCGCATTGTTAGATCCTTATTTTTTCCCACAAATTATATGGCTTTTTTATCGCGTGGCATCGTCGAGATTATTTAACGCCCGGCTGAATAATTAACTAGTGGAAAAATAAAATGCTTGTTACAATCCGTGAACTTTGCCGGAACTAATTTGTTGGTTTAGCGCCGAAAATAGTGTATTTACCGGGCGTGGCAAATTCCGCAAGTATAAGGCATAAGGGGATAATTTAAATGAATAAATTTCAGTCGAGTTTCAAAACGTATTCCCTGAATTAACCCATTAGTGCATATGGTCGTTTTTAACCTTTATTTATGACTTTTAAATTAACAAAAACCCGGAAGTTATTGAAATATATTATACAGGGTGAGTCCTTATAGGGGGAACAGGGGGTAACTTTAAAATTTCCAATGAAGCACCCTATTTTTTATTGCAGATTCGGATCATTCGACTAAAAATAGGTAGATTTTGTCTAAAACATTTTTTCATATTTATAAACGATGGCGCTGTAATGAAAAAAAAAATCAATTTTGTTTGATTTTTCTTTTGTATACGATTCTCCAATAATTTTTGAATAAAATACTTGGTTTTATTTTTTAAATTTATTTATTTATTTCGTTTTAAAATTCTGCTAACACTGCTCTGGGATATTCCCAAATCTCTAGATAATTCTCGTGTGCTTGCATGAGGATTAGCGGCCGTTGCTGCTAATACATTCATTTCATTATTTCCACCTGTGACTGTTGTTGGACGAACTCTTTTTTTCGGTTGAACACTCCCGTTTGCAGTAAACTGCTTGACTGTACGGTGAAATGAAGTACGTGATCAAATTTTTTCCGGAAAACGCAGAGCATAAATCAAAATCATTCCTATTTTTTCTTCCACTGTTAAAAATCCATTATGAATAACCGCACAAAACGCGGTCTTTAAGCTTTCGTTGATTTTGGCATTATGGTGGACAATATAGGCGCGAATATTTATCTTAAAACGTCGGTATTAGCGATCGTAGCCGATTGCAAGTAAGTCACTAATATTTAAAGGAATTTACCTAAATTAGTTCAATAATTTGCCATAATAATTTAGAAGAATTACCTAAATTAAAAGCAAAATTGTCGTACCTAAAAGTAATTGAGGTTTTGACTAAATATTTAGGTAATTTGCCTATCTTTTTAAATTTGACAAGTTTATTAAGTAAAGCATGAATACTTATCTAGAAGTTAGTGAATACACCATAGAACTAAGGCATTCGTTTCTGCCTAATAAACGAGAAGGTACATTGCTTTACTCGTTTAAGCATATAACCTTATTTTTCCTTAACTAATTCTGATTAGGTATTTCAAAAGGCTTGATTTTGAACAGTGTATAATTAAACTTTTGTTTCAGATTACGAAGTTGTGAGACTTCCGGAAGACGCCGTTCTCTGCGGTTTTACCCCGATCGCTTACACGGTATCGAAACCCTTGTACGCGCCCAAAGACATGGACATCGAAGTCGCCCAATTCCTCTTGCGTATGGAGAAACTGCTGTTCTTCGGCACGGAGTTCGTGTGCGGTTTGGAGCCGCCCGTCCTCAAATTAGAAATCGAGGACGGTTTTCGGGAATACGTGTCCGTCGTGCAAGCCAACGCCAGCAGGAGCTCGCCACCCAGCCCGCAAGAACTGGTAAGTGAACAGTTTTGTTTTAGCACAAAGCCAATATCAAGTTTACTTTGTACAACGACTTTTTACCTGGCCGATTTAAGTTGGAAGGGCAAGAATATTTCAAAAATACGCTAAAGAAGTATCGCTAATAGCGCCACCACTCGGCTGGTATCATCGTAACAAAAGTACAACTTTTGATAATCAGTTGTCAAACGCTTATGTTACAAACGAGTGTTTTTGAGAATAAAGCCGGAAAATGTTAAAAAATATCGAAAAAAAAACCGTGGCTCGATTTGTTGTGTTGTTGGGTGTATTTCGAGAGGAAATCCTGGGTTGAGTTTTCACCGATTTTCCAAAAAACAGTGTTAATCTAAATGAAGAAATAAATTGCATACATTCTCTGTAAATATAAATTGTACCCATTAGATACAATAAATACCCATTTTAGTAGTGATTAACGTAAAAAGTGTAAACATTTTTCAATTCAGTAAATATCGTCAAACAAACAAGTCGTCTAAATTTAAACAGCATTTAGCATTATTAAAAGCGTTGATACCATTATATTATGTATTATATATAATATTATGTTGCCATGAATTCGTAGGTATATTTTGTTGTTTAAAATGCAGTTGTCGGCGTTTTTAGAGAACTCAAATATAAAAATGGTTGATTTTAAGGTTATGTTTGTGCAAAAATTATTTTTTACTAATTTCTTAAAAATGTCCGAACTTAAATAAAAGTTATATTAGATAAAGTTATCATTAGTTAATTCTGCACCAACAAATGTACTTACCGAATTGGATCCTTTGGCAAAACATGAAAATGCAACGATTTAGTTCTTAAATTTTATTTACAATTAAAAACACTATAATTCACCATGATCCTTTAGATAAAATACACACACTAACGTAACTATATATTATATTATAATAAGCATTTAAGCGTTGAGTTTCTTAATTAATAATATAAGGAATAATCAATCTAAATCGAGTACTAAATTTTGTTTCTAAATAAACGTTTTTTGTTTCATTTTCTTGGTGGGAACCCTGTATAAGCATTTAAGCGTTGAGTTTCTTAATCAATAATATAAGGAATAATCAATCTAAATCGAGTACTAATTTTTGTTTCTAAATAAACGTTTTTAAAATAAAATAAAGGGTATATGTACAATAAAAACAAAGACAATTGCTGTAAAACCCGCACAAAATTAGAGGTCAAAATGTGTCTCCCTTGCGGGAGATATCTTACACAGACAATTTATCTTGGAGTCAGGAGGAATTCAAAATGAAAATTTACGGCATCGTATCGTATTTCACCCGGCCTTTCAAGGGAACATAATTCTTCACCGTTACTTAAATTTTTAATGCCCCGCGCTAACACTTATTTACCGCATGTACATAAATTTCGGCTGCAATGACAATTTTTGTTGAGGAAACTAACGCACAGAAATACTCGCCATATGCATAAGACATTTACAGTTATCGACGAAGTTCATAGAGTAGTTACCATAAAAAATATACAGGGTCTTTAAGTCAAAATTTAGCCGAAAATAATACACTCACAGGCAAAATAATCGATCCACACAAATTTTCGATGAATTTCAATCGCAAATAACTTTTTTATTTGATTTCGGATTTAAACAAATATTAAAGAATATTGTAGATACATTAATGGAGAATCGCTCACATTTTAAAAATTACTAAAAAATACACGTACGTTTATAATATACAGGTTTAAACAAAAATATGTTTTTTACCATAAGTTTAAGACACTCTGTAGAGTGGCAAAACCGTATATTGTTCTAAATTAAGTTTTAATTATCAAGTATTTATTTTCGTGGAAAATATGGATTTTTAAAAAAAAACATTGCAATTTTCAATATTTTTTCTGTATGAAGAACTAAGGTTGCTATGGTCCATCCATAGCCTATGGAGGATGACAGTGACAGTTTTGTTGAATCATCCCATACTTGGACATGTCATATACAGCTTTCAAAAGCTATCAAATTGTTTTTTGTAAATTAATGTTACTTTTGAGGTGTCTTCTTACTTTTAAAAATGTCTCCGACTGATGTTGCCCTTTGTACTTTACTTCTTGTGACGTTTAAAACACTAGCCACGTAATACTGTGACCGTCCATCCTGGATTAAATTAATGGCTCTGGCAACATTAGTCGGAGACATATCCATTTTTTAAAGTAAGAAGACACCTCAAAATTTAACATTAATTTGCAAAAAACAATTTGATAGCTTTTGAAAGCCGTGTATGACATGTCCAAGTATGGGATGATTCAACAAAACTGTCACTGTCATTCTACATAGACTATGGATGGACCATAGCAACCTTAGTTCTTCATCCAGAAAAATATTGAAAATTGCAATGTTTTTTAAAAAAATCCATATTTTCCACAAAAAGAAATATATCGAGGTGAACCAAAAACAAAACTGTTAAGAATAGATGTGACTTTTAATTTAAAACAATATAGGGTTTTGCCACTCTACAGAGTGTCTTAAACTTATGGTAAAAAACATATTTTTGTTTAAACCTGTATATAATAAACGTACGACTATTTTTTAGTAATTTTTTAAAGTGTGAGCGATTGTCCATTAATTTATCTACAATATTCTTTAATACTCGTTTAAATCCGACATCAAATAAAAAAGTTATTTGCGATTGAAATTCATCGAAAATTTGTGTGGATCGATTATTTTGCATGTGAGTGTAGTTTTCTTAAAAAAAACTTCTTATATGAAACTTTTATCACAGGATCGTAATAACGATGTGCTTTTGGAGAGCGTCAGTGGAGACGAGGAGGAAATATTAGTGGAGGACAGTGGCGCCACTATGGACGCGGGCCCGGAAATCAGGGATCTCTTAAACAGGAAATTCGAGTTGGAAAGAAAGAAGCGGAACCAAGACTTACATTTACAAAGAGTCAAGGTAAGACTGTCTATTTTGCATTTTTACACGGAGAGAAAAGTATAATGCTGATTACCATAATTATAATACCCTTTAATATAATTTATATTACTATTTGGGACAACTATCTTGTATATTGCCAGATACTATGCATATTTAGTAATTTTTAAATATCCATGTATGTTAAACCTAAGGTAAAATATTATTATTCTCAACCAATTTTGTTTTTAATTCTTATTATAATTAGATTTTTTCCATTACTAATAAGTATAGTAAATTTTAACATATTATGTTGCCATTTTAAATATAAAATATTTTAAAATCGAATATTTTTATATGTTAGAAATTAAAAATTGTAACATATTTATTGTACTTTTTAATATACAAAAATGTTATGAGAAAGAACTGAACCTACACCTCGCCAAAGTTTTTTGTTTTGAGTGCGTTCCATCAACTTCAAATACCGACAGACAGGTGTTTTGACCTATATTGGGTATCATCAGTGTCGACACGACACTGTCGAGCAACTTGTAGTAGTGGAACACACCCAAAACAAAGAAATACCTGAGCTTATATAACATGGTTGGTAAGCCAACAGAGGCGAGATGTAAGAACATCACGTGATCCACACCGTCTAACGACGCGTCGCGACGTGGCCTTTGCCGCAATCGGTACTATGCAACCAAGTAGGTTCAATTCTTTCTTATAAGTATTACCAGTAATGGGTCAAGAAAGTTTATTGAAGAAACTAAGAAAATTGAATGTTTATATTTAAATATATTATTTATTTACCTTAAACATAAAAGTATCTTTATTTTTACCATATTTTTTATTAATGTATAATATATTATAATATTAGATGTACACCTTACATTTGATTAAATCATATAGTAAATATTACTATTTGTAGATAGTAAAATCAATTTACTATACGAACATATTAAAAATTAAAATATGTATTAGGCATTTATGATTTAGTAATATTGGTGTTGTAATCTTTACTAAAATTGTATAATAAAAAATAGTATTTTGTATTACAATCTTAATATTGTATTGACGAATATATAATATTGTTACCTTAAAAATTTGTTAAGTAAATTTTACTGTATTTTTTTACTATCTAAAATTTACTATACATTTCTCTCCGTGTACGTACGAGGTGTGTTATAAAAGTAACTCCTAAGTAGTATTATAGTGACCAAAAGTGATATCGCAACTTCAAATGAGGGGCAATTGCGTTAATATAATTAAATCTACTACGATACAGTTGAAATATTTTAAATTACATTAGCATAGTTGTAATCAGTGATTTGCACCTGCAGAATATACCTTAAACATAAAAGTATCTTTATTTTTATTAATGTATAATATATTATAATATTAGATGTACACCTTACATTTGATTAAATCATATAGTAAATATTACTATTTGTAGATAGTAAAATCAATTTACTATACGAACATATTAAAAATTAAAATATATATTATGCATTTATGATTTAGTAATATTGGTGTTGTAATCTTTACTAAAATTGTATAATAAAAAATAGTATTTTGTATTACAATCTTAATATTGTATTGACGAATATATAATATTGTTACCTTAAAAATTTGTTAAGTAAATTTTACTGTATTTTTTTACTATCTAAAATTTACTATACATTTCTCTCCGTGTACGTACGAGGTGTGTTATAAAAGTAACTCCTAAGTAGTATTATAGTGACCAAAAGTGATATCGCAACTTCAAATGAGGGGCAATTGCGTTAATATAATTAAATCTACTACGATACAGTTGAAATATTTTAAATTACATTAGCATAGTTGTAATCAGTGATTTGCACCTGCAGAATATACTTCATAGTTTTATAACTTTTTGGTGTATCAGTCTGGTATCTGAAATGTTAATAAATGGGTAATTCCCCCATAATTTTAACTTGAATGTCCGGAGGTCAAAAAATTATTTTTTATCCAATACTTTCTGTATATATTTTTTTTAATTTATGATTAATTTAGTTATTAATTTCTTATTTTACGGATAACTGTTTGCGATTTTACACCAAGTTGAACGAGTAGCAAGAGTAATGATAACTTTCGGTTGCGAGA